CTATATGAACGTGTTCAAGACTCCGAATACGCTGAATGATGGACAACAACAACCTGTTGATAATTTCACCCCTAGAGCCAATTTAAAATGTTTTAAAGACGGTGCCACTCTCCTCCGCAGAGTCTGAATTATTTAGGATTTGTAGGCATAGTAAAGGATATTTAGTGGAGCGCGACGGGGGGGTGAGATCGATGGTTGACAAAATGTAATGAAGACTCTGCCACAGAATACTACACAGAAGTCCATCTCCATTGTTTTTAGCGTAAGCTCTATTCGTCATGATTCGTCACTCAGCAAGTACCGTAAACAGAAGCAGTCACCCCCCTGGCCATACGCCATTTTTAGTATTTCCAGGAGGGGGACTGCTTCTGTTTACGGTACTTGCTGAGTGACGAATCATGACGAATAGAGCTTACGCTAAAAACAATGGAGATGGACTTCTGTGTAGTATTCTGTGACTCTGCCATATAATGCGCGTTTCTCGGGTCGATTCTGCGGTTCTCGGGTATGGCTGAAATAAGGCAAGAAAACGACTCGGAAAGCAGTGATGTGGACATTTTAGAAGTTTCCCTTTACAATTTAAGTATCGAGGGTAAGTTGAATGAATTTTATACAATATTTATGTCGCATTTGCCGGTATTGACGGCATTGTTTTACATATCTGTATAGCGACAGAATACGTCATAGTATCATGGCTTTGTTATTGTTTTTATCTCTCCCAAAATCAACAAATAAAGTTTAAAATATCATATATGGTACATTGCCAGTAAGAATTATATAAAAGCAGCAAGGATTCACAAAGGATGGCTTAAATATACGACGGATTGATACAAAAGACGTTGGGTTGTAGTCGGCCCATAAAATGGCCGCCTGTATTGTGGTGTGACACTTTAATATCCTTTAATATTTAGATTGAAGATTCTAAGCAGTGTATCCTATATTAAGTACTTTATATCTAGATGAAGAAGATGGATGTTATCCAATGGCAAGTACGCCCCAAAAGGATGACAAGAAATAAATTAGTGTGCTCTGAAGTGTCCAAACGCCAAAGTGAACCTGGTCGAAAAAGGCTTCACATTGTCGAGAATTGACAGTACTTTGAACATTATAGATATCTTGCACGCATTCTAATATAAACAGTTCATTATTAATATCTTATATCGAACACGGTTAGTTAATTGAACTAGGATAGAATTACACTTGCACTAGGATAACTGGGACATTCAGGATAATTTGATAATCACCTTTTTGTTGTATATAGTTTTTTCGCACTGGCCTTTGAGCTTGTGTTAGTGTAAATAATACATATTCAAACTATGGTGTAGATCGTCCTTGATTCTATCGAAAGAACCTACGCTACATTAGATCTCGTTATCGTCGTAGACAAGTTAACACAACGCAAGACAACACTATAGCTTATTTCGAGTGACGAACGAGACATTGGTGCCGTGACCAGGATGGACGGTCTAAAACGCGCAAGGATAAAACGTGGCGCTCAACGTGCGCAAGCAACTAAAATTTGGAACGAAGCTGAACTACTCATAAACGGTGAAACGAACGAAGTTAATATTGAGAAACTACGGGTCATTCTGGCAACGTACGACGCGAAAATCGAATTACTTCGAAAGTTGGATGAAACTGTATCAGATCTAATCGAAGACGAAAAGGGCTTAGAGACGGAGATCGTTGAAGCCGACGACTATTTAACGGAACTAACTAAAAAGAGGTACACCATAGAATTCTTTATCAATCAAAGTACAATCCATAGTAATTCGTTAGCTAGCCCTATGGCTACCACAACACCACAAAACGGACACGGTTTTCCTACTCAAAGTACGCCGCCACAATCGCACAATACAAATAGTCATAGATTACCAAAGTTAGCACTGCCAGTATTTAGCGGCAACGTGTTAAAATGGCAAACCTTTTGGGACTCTTATAAGGTCGCTATTTTGTATGTCGCTTAGGCTGGAGTTTTCAAAAATTACATATCTCAAAGCTCAAGTGTCAGGTGAAGCCGCGCAATCAATCGAAGGTTTACCGCTTACAGAGTCAAACTACGCGCAATGTATTGCAATTTTGGAACAGAGATTTGGTCAACCCCACAAGATAACTAACGCACACATGCAAGCCTTGTTAGATCTACCATGCCCTTCAAATTCAGTGTCTACCTTGCGCCAATTTTACGATAGCATGGAAAATCATATTCGAGGTCTCGAGGCGTTAGGAAAGAAACAAGATACCTACGGTGACCTTTTAATCCCCATTGTTTTGGGTAAACTTCCCACTACAATCAAGCACAACTTAATTCGAGAGAACGGTTCAACTAAATGGTCAGTAGAACAATTACGCAAATCAATTTTGAAAGAAATTCAAATACTAGAAGCTGGGGAAGAAACAGACTCTTTCAGTCAAATTAGTCAATTAGGCAAACCTGTCAACACCCTACCATCAACATCGAGCCTACTGACAAACGCATCCGGAAAGTTTGGAAACCATGCCAACGCAAAAGAATTTTACGCACCTAAAAATCGCCCTACAAACAAGAGTTTATGCATTTTCTGTTCGGGCCATCATCGCCCTAACGAGTGTACTGTAGTAAAGGATCCCACAGCCCGTAAGAATATTGTTTTCCAAGCGAAGTTATGTTTTAGCTGTTTGAACAATCACCGCGTATCTGATTGTAACTCGAGAAATCGCTGTCGAGGGTGTCACAAGAAACACCACACGAGTCTTTGTAATGAAACGAACAAAGATGCAACAAAAAATACCAGGAAAAATCATCCGCCGAATAACGACGCACCGAATATTACGACGCAAGTTCAAAACGCGAAAACCAATCCACCCGTCGACAAAACCCCAGACCGTGTCCACACGTCTCTGTCAGTCAACGACTACTATGGGAGACAAACACTCCTCAAAACTGCCATTAATACGATAGCAACACAGAACAAAATAGCGACAGCACACATTCTCTTTGATGAAGGTGCTCAACGTTCCTTTATCACTCAAAGTTTAGCTGACGAACTCGAACTTACGCCTGAAGGAAGTGAAACCTTAAATCTATCAGTCTTTGGCGGGTCTTCGACTTCTATCAAACAAGTAGACATGGCTACGATTAATCTCAACACCGAAGATGGCGAAAAAATTCCTTTACAGGTATTGATAATTCCCACAATCGCAGTTCCGCAGAAAAGTTTCCCCACCGCCGAAATTCGAAACCTCCCACACCTCAACGGCTTGAAACTTGCACACCCTATGACGACTGATGATCATTTCCACATATCCCTCTTGATTGGCGCGGACCACTACCGGGACGTTGTCGAAGACGAAATCGTTAGGGGACCGGGCCCCACTGCAGCGAAATCTAGAATCGGTTACTTGCTTTCTGGACCAACAACTGGGCCAGCTGTTGCGACAACATCACTCAATGCAACCATCTTGAAAGTCATTGTTTCAAAGGAACACGAAAGTAAAGCTTTAGAACGATTTTGGAATCTAGAATCTATTGGGATTCTTCCAGACGAAATAACAACCCACGAAGACAAGTTTGTTAAGGAATATCAGGATTCTTTAATACGACTCGTGAATGGCCGATACTGTGCAAAGTTACCATGGAAACCTAACCATGACCCCCTTCCCACCAACGAAGCAGTAGCGCGAGGAAGAACCCGTTCCTCTGTAAGGAGATTAGCCAAAGACCCCAAGACCGTGCAAACCTACAGTGAACTTATTAACGAACAGTTAAAACGAGGTTTTATTGAAAGAGTTACAAATCCAGAAACATCAAACTGTTATTACCACTACATCCCACATCACGCTGTATTAAAAGATTCCCCTACGACACCTATTCGTATTGTGTACGACTGCAGTTGCAGCTCAAATGCCGACCAAGCAAGCCTGAACTCATGCCTTTCCACTGGCCCCTCAGGCCGATTAATGCTTGGCTTTGCTTGGCTCTGCCCACGCTTGACGTGCTATCTCCGCGCGAGTTGTGCACGCGATTAAACATATCTAGCGTGTTGCTATTTTAGTGCGTTTTAGCGTTCGAATGAAACTGAAATTGAATAAATATGAGCTGTTGGATCATATTAGATTATAGCAACCAGCAGGGATGGTAAATTATTAGTTTTTCTTGTACAATTGGTCGTTCTATTGTATAATACATCATATGCGATATGCGGCGACCTTTGACTTTGATATATAATATAATATAAAGTTCGCTATTGCGGGTTTTTATGTCTGAATTATTCAACACTGATTTGTGATCCCTCTTTAGCTTCCCACGCACAGAAAAATATTTGAAATACAAATAAGTACCCAGCATATGGCTGGTTATCAAACTTTTTTGGGGTGGTGACGTTTTAGTGTGACATATTTCTCTTAAAACTCTTAAGGGCGCAATAAATGTTGTTGTTGAAATATAATATCCTTTCATATAAAGACTCAGACTTGTGTCGAATATTCTGTTCAATATATAAACGAACATGTGTATACTTATCATATTGTATTTCTGTACATATTATTCTCTCTGTTCCTCACATATTATTTGAATGCACTACTTATTAGTTGCAGTTTGTTAGTCATTGTCATTGTATGTATATTTGTATTTCATAATATTTTGTTTCACGGCAGGGGCCTATAATGATTATGGCGTGCGCGAATTCATCACGCGGAAAACGCGTTGGACTTGCCGACACATAAGACAACGTTAATGTAGGTAGTTAATACGTAGATTATATCCAGAGTACAGCCAACCTTGGTCCCACAATTAGAATTGTAAGCATTGTAATCTGGAACGATCGTTTTAGTGCAAATCATATTGACATTGTGCGAGACATTGTTGTATTCATAGCAATATTTTCATATCTGCGGCAAAATCTTCAAGTTTCTAATCGCAGCATTGCAGTATAAGAGTAAAAGCTTCCGTGATAATATTTTTGTACATATCCATGAATGTTTAGTGTGTCGGCAAGCCGTGTTTTAAAACATTAAGTTAATGTCCATTATCACCGACTATATCTTGTCACGTGACCAGTTTCCATGGAAACCAAAGAGTTAAAAAATATCGGCAGTTGATTTCCAACATCTCAACCAAAAATGAGAGTCATAGTGTGCTTTGTTAATTTTTAATTAATTTTTAAAGATTTTTCCTATTTCCCGACTCCTTACGAAATTGGAGCCATGCATTAATGCACCTGAGCCTGACATCCTTAATGATATGACCGCCATACTCGTCCGTTTTCGATGCTATCGGTATGCTTTAACCGCTAACATAGAAAAGGCCTTCCTGAACATCTCTCTAGATGAAGGAGATAGAGATGCAACAAGATTTTTTTGGCTATCCGACCCAACCAACCCCGAAAGCAGCTTTGACGTATATCGGTTCAAATCTATCTTGTTTGGTGCATCGTGTTCCCCGTTTATCTTGAATGCAACGATCAAGAAGCACCTTGACAGCTACAACGATCCAATCGCACAACGAATGAAAGCCGACATCTACGTCGACAACTTGGCTTCTGGCACAGATAACGAAGACGAAGCCGCGATCTACTTCAAACACACCAGATCCGTAATGTCTTCTGCCAACTTCAATTTACGTGAATGGAACTCGAACAGTTCAAAGATTTGTGCACTCGCCAATGAAGAAAATGCTCAAGACGACAACACCGAAGCAAAACTGCTTGGTCTTCGCTGGAACAGTAAAGTCGATACGCTGAAGCTTCAAGAAAAACGTCCAGTTACTGATCCCAATGAAAACGTGGTGTCCATAACTAAGCGAGATGTTTTACGAGCGTCTTCTAAGATATATGATCCCCTCGGTCTCATCACTCCTATCACTATTCGTGCCAAGATCTTCCTTCAAAAGCTCTGGGAACTGAAGTATGCTTGGGATGAACCGCTACCAAAACCACTGATTGAAAAATGGGTCAAACTTTCCAGAGACCTAGAAGCTGCAACTCAGACCGAAGTTCAACGCACAGTGGCGTAGCTAGCGAAATTTGATTATTCCTGCTCTAAGACCCACGCATTCTAGGGGCGTAAAATTTTGAATTTTAGAAGTCTGGAATGGCCATTTCCTGCGATTTCACGGCGAAATACTCCAAAGGGAACATCAAAAAATTGCGTGATTAGCGGAAAATTTTTTATAATTTTTTTAGAAAAAAAAATTATAACTTTTTGAAATCCATGCATTTTTTTATCATATTTCACTATACATGTATATTTTTCAACTTAACTGAAAATGTAGCTAAATATAGTCAAGTCACGAAAGAGGAAAATATCATGTATACAATACGCGTCTGTAATACGATCTTTCACTTGATCAACACAAAACAATCCAACCTCACATATTAATCAACTATTGCATAACTATTATACTGTTGAACACGGCGTTTTATACACTATAACGCTACGGCTAGCATTCGTTAAAAATTCACTACGTTTGTTAGTAATGTGACAGATCACTACGCCTGGCACTCTGGATGTAATTCAGTACCCTATGCCTATGGTATTAATAATATAGCGTTTAATTAATATAGTATATGCGGCCAAATATCTACATATAAAACAGTGTGAATTGGTACAGTATATCATTTTTAAAATTAAACTCCATATAAGTGCTCGTTTCAAATGCACAAAGCAGATGAACTGGCAGTAAATATTACGTTCTTACTTTATATCAATACGACAGGCTTCACAAATGATGTTTGTATTCCCCATTTAATATATATTGTATTATAAAAATACACAATCATCAGTCGAGTCTGTTCACATGCATTTCGTGAGCTAAAATATCTTAGCAGAAGCCAGAAATTATATCAAAATCACATTGGGCTTCCACACTCGTTGATTTTCGTATTCATAACTTGAGTAATCTCGGCAGAATTAGTGAAAAGTGGGTTTAGTCACGCGGAAAGCTCGCAAGTAAAGATAATACAAGGCCAAGTCCTGCCATTTCGAGAGAGCAGGACTTCGCATTTGTAAACAGTCGGTTTGAGCATGCGCAGACCTAATTATCCAATCAGAAACCAAGATTTCTTGTATGAATTTACTATGAAATATACTGGCAAGTCCTGCCATTTGAAAATGGCAGGACTGAAATACGAGTCGCGTGTAAATCAATGTAGAGTTGCAGTTGCTAGGTAACAGACACGGCAAGCTGTAAAATTGCGTAAATATGACAGAATGTGAAAAACTTTTTAAAAAATAATAACGAAAAAGACGAGAAAATGAGACAAAATAACAATATGATAATGATAAATTTTTAAAACTTCAAGATAAATGAAGCAATAGTTTAGTACGGAAATTTGGGGAAATTTTTAGTCCTGCTGGGCAGGACAAGCAGGACCGCTAGCTACGCCACTGTCAACGCAGATACTTTCCGCTGTTATCTTCATGGCCATCAAACGTAGTACTTCACATCTTTGTCCATGCAAGCACCAAAGCTTATGGGACAGTCGTTTATGTCACTTCCAATTCACATACCTCCATGGTTATGTCAAAGTCTCGTGTAGCTCCACTGAAAAAACTGACCCTTCCGCAAGTTGAATTGATGGCAGCTGTTACTGGTGCAAGACTTGCTTCATATTGTCCAATCATCTGACGGTTACCAAAATCGTGTTCTGGTCCGACAGTCATATCGTTATCTACTGGCTTTCCTCCCAAAAAGAACTGAAGTGCTTTATTCAGAACCGAGTTAAAGAAATTCACCAAGCCACCAACAATGCCACCTGGAACTACTGTCCAACTTCTGACAATCCAGCAGATCTCCTAACACGAGGGATCTCGACAGACGACCTTTGTGGACGCATGGCCCACCTTGAGAATGGAAACCTAACAACGTTCTTCTGCAGTCCTGCCTCGACGAAGATCAAGAAACGAGCAAAGTCACTGCCGAAGTCACCGACACATCTACAAACGCCAGCATAACCCAGATTATTCCACCTACCAAATTCAGTGACCTTTAACGACTACTGCGAACTACAGCATGGGTACTTCGCTTCGTTAATACCCTGCAAAAGGGCAACGCATGTAAGGGAAAACCACTAAAGGTCCACGAAGTTGAAAACGCGAGAAATGTTTGGATACGGGAAATCCAAAACGACGCCTACGGTAACGAACTTGCCAACATACAAAAGCCGAAAACCTCTTGTCTACCCCTTGTACGTCAACTTCGCCTGTTTACTCTGGAAGACAACATCATTCGTTGTGGTGGCAGAATTCACAATGCACCAGTGGAACATTCAGCAAAGTTTCCCATACTCTTACCCCCAAACCACCATTTCCCCTTGCTGGTTGTCAACGACGCACACGAGAAACTACAACACGCTGGATTAAACCAAACCCTGACACAAATACGCCAGAAGTATTGGATTCCAACAGCTCGCCAGTACATCAAGAAAATACTTCG